TAGCCACAGTGTGTAACCTAATATTTTTGTTAAAACAATAATTTTTAAATATTTTTGAGGTAAATGCTGAACCAGCATCCGTTATCAATCTTCGCGGGTTACCGAATATTTTCGATATGTTTTCGAGTTCTTGGATCACATTGCTACTGCCGGTGTTATTCACAGCTGATATGAATACGAATTTAGTGAACGCGTCTACTGTAACTAATAAGTATTTATTATTGTCCTGAGTTTCTACAAAAGGACCTAAGTAATCTAAATGTAACGTATGGAATGCCTGGGCGTATTTTGGTAATGGATATAGTTCTCCTTCCTTTGGCCCGCCTTTGTTTTTATAATAAATGCACTTTATACAATTATTTATATATTTTTTTATTATGTGTCTCATCCGGGAGAACCAGTATCGATGAGAAATTCTCTCGACTGTTTTGTCGACAGAAAAATGACCGAGGTCATCATGATTGTATTTTAATACCTGCCATATGCATGCTTTTGGTACTACCCAACGTCGACCTTGGCTTGTCCGGCGATACACTTTGTTACCTAATAGTTCATATTTGTTAAATATATCTTTATATTTATGCGCTTCACCAGATTCTAAGGACTTTTTGATATCAGGTATCCGCGAATCCTGAAGCTGAACGGAGAGTAGCCAATCTGCTTCCGTGATAGACATAATTATCTCAGCTTCAGACTTACTTCCAGATTGTAAAGGGTTCCTACTTAATGCATCTACGTGTTGCATGCGATAACCCTCCCTATGGATAATATCGTAAGAAAATTCTTGAGTCGCCAAGACCCACCTAGCAATACGTGGTATTATCTCCTTTTTACTTAAAGCAAAGCGAACTGCACTGCAATCCGTAATAATGCGAAAATGACTTCCTAATAAGTAATGCCTAAATTTATTTAGTGATTGAACGACCGCTAATAATTCGAGTTCGAATGAATGATACTTTTTTTCATCACCTGTGGTTTGACGACTATAGTAATGAATGGGCTTCTCTACAGAGTCTGAAACCTGCATTAAGATACCAGAAATTCCGTCCCTGCTTGCGTCAGTATATAAAACGCACTCTTTGGTAGGGTCAAATAACGTAAGTATGTTATCCGAAATTAGTGCATCTTTTAAGGTCATAAAAGCACGATCATGTTCACTTTTCCAGACCCAGGGGACATTCTTCTTTAACAGTTTGGTGAGAAGACTGGACAAGATTGCACAATGTTTTATGAATTTCCGAAAATAACTAATGAGGCCTAGAAATTGTCGCACCTGGTGAACCGATTTAGGAGTGGGAAAGTCTTTTACTGCATTTACCTTACCTTCGCTAGGTTTTATGCCCTCAGAATTTATTCGGTAACTCAAAAATTCTATATCTGTCTTTAAGAAATGACATTTTTTTAAGTTAAGCGTTAGGCCGTTTTCTTTGAAAATTTGTAACACCTTTTCGAGAAGTTCCAAGTTCTCTACCTCTGTTTGACTTACGATTAAAATGTCGTCTAGTGCCGTGTAGTGGCGGTCAAGAATATCCACTACCCCATATCCTCCCGTGGGTATCGTAAAAGGCGACAAAGGGAAACAGGCAGGAGATGGGCAGCAGCATCTTCCTGATAATAGCCAAATTACAATAAAAAAACTGCGGTTGCCAACCCGCTCGCCAAGCGTGGCAACTATGGCAAATACCCCCTATGAATGACAGTAACAAAGAAACGGCCCCCAGTCCCCGGCGGCCCCGCTATTCCTGGCTACGGTGGCGACCATGGTAACGGCGGGGCAGGGGGTGCTAAGAATCTCCGGTGGAGGTTCGGTTGCCACCTTAGACGACTCGACCTGGCAACGTACAACGCACGCACCCTGAGGACTGACGAGAAGATCGTGGAGCTGGAAGAAGAGATAGACAAGTTGCGCTGGCATATTATAGGATTATCCGAAGTCCGAAGAGAGGGGGAGGACACGGTAATCCTCGAATCCGGCAACTTGCTCTATCACCGGGAGGGCGACCATCTGTCCCAAGGAGGTGTCGGATTTATCGTCCACAAGTCTCTCGTTAACAACGTTGTAAAGATCGGGAGTGTGTCGACGAGGGTTGCGTACCTTATACTCAGAATCACCAAACGGTATTCGCTGAAGGTCATACAGGTTTACGCACCAACCTCGGCACACCCCGATGAGGAGGTGGAGGAAATGTATGAGGATATCTCTAGAGCCATGCATTCCTCCAAAACCCAATATACGGTGTTAATGGGAGACTTCAATGCAAAACTAGGCACAAGAGAGAACGGTGAGCTGAAAGTAGGGAAATTTGGAATAGGACAACGGAACCCAAGGGGCCAGCAGCTGGCCGACTTCATGGAGAAAGAGGGACTCTTTATGATGAACTCTTTCTTCCAGAAGCGGCCCCACAGGAAGTGGACCTGGTCGAGCCCCGACGGTTCCACAAAAAATGAGATTGACTTCATTATGACGACCAGACGACAACTGTTCAGTGATGTCTCCGTGATCGCGAGGGTGAAAACTGGTAGCGATCACCGAATGGTTAGAGGCACACTGAACCTAAACGTTAAGTTGGAGAGGTCTCGTCTAATGAAGTCAACGCTCCGTCCCCCTCGTGCTCTGTTCCAGAGTCCCGAAACCTTTCAGCTCGAGTTACAAAACCGTTTTCAGTGCCTGGAAGACTGCAATGAAGTGGACGATATGAATGACAAGCTCGTGGAAACTGTCCATGCGGTCGGAGCTAAGTTCTGCAAGACCCGCCGCAGAAGAACACAAAAACTCTCCGATCACACTCTTAATCTCATGGCTGTTAGACGGGAGATGAAGCTACATTCTTCAACAGACTTGACAGCATACAGGCATCTGAACAGACAGATCTCCAAATGCATGCGGCGGGACTTACGCAACTTCAATACAGCTCGTATTGAAGAAGCGATCGAGCGGAACCAAGGCTCTAAAGTCTTTGCCAGAGATCTGTCTGCCAGAAAGAGCCAACTGTCAAAGCTGAAGACAGAATGTGGCAGCATCGTTTCCGGGACACCTGAGATTTTGAGTGAGATTGAGAGGTTCTATGGGCAGCTGTACACATCATCGTTGGAGCCACACGCAAGTGTGAGTAACGATCCAAGAGCGAGTCTCATCCGACACTATTCCGAAGATATCCCGGATGTCAGTCTGAGCGAGATTAGGATGGCTCTCCAGCACCTTAAAAACGGTAAGGCCCCAGGCGAGGATGGAATTACAGCGGAGCTTCTGAAAGCGGGTGGAAGACCGGTACTTGAAGTCCTTCAGAAGCTCTTTAATTCTGTCCTCCATGGTGGCATTACACCGGAGGCGTGGAGCAGAAGTGCGGTGGTCTTGTTCTTCAAGAAAGGTGACAACGCTCTCTTGAAGAACTACAGACCGATTTCCCTTCTGAGCCGCGTCTACGTGCTGTTTTCGAGAGTCATTACGAATCGTCTCGCGCGCAGACTTGACGACTTCCAGCCTCCCGAACAAGCCGGTTTCCGAAAGGGCTTTAGCACCATAGACCACATACATACCCTTCGGCAAGTTGTACAGAAGTCCGAAGAGTACAATTTGCCACTATGTCTGGCGTATGTGGACTATGAGAAAGCCTTTGATTCCGTCGAAATTTGGGCGGTGCTGCAGTCCCTTCAGCGGTGCCAAGTTGACTGTCGGTATATCGAAGTGTTGAAGTGCTTGTACAGTAGGGCTACGATGGCTATCCGAGTACAGAACCAGAATACGAAACCTATCCAATTGCAGAGAGGTGTAAGACAGGGTGACGTCATATCCCCGAAACTCTTCACCGCTGCATTGGAAGACGTTTTCAAGCTTCTGGACTGGAAAGGATACGGTATCAACATCAATGGCGAGTACATCACTCACCTTCGATTTGCCGACGATATAGTCCTTATGGCAGAATGGCTGGAGGACCTAAGCACTATGCTCAATGACCTCAATAGTGTTTCCCAACGGATAGGTCTTAAGATGAACATGGACAAAACAAAGATCATGTTTAATGTCCATGTCACACCTATGCCGGTAGTTGTTGGGAGCACTAAGCTCGAAGTTGTTGACGAGTATGTTTACCGGGGACAAATAGTCCGACTAGGTAAGTCCAACTTCGACCGAGAGGTCAATCGACGGATTCAACTCGGCTGGGCAGCGTTCGGGAAGCTACGACACATCTTCTCGTCAGACATACCTCAAAACCTTAAAACGAAATTGTACAACCAGTGCGTGTTGCCAGTGATGACTTACGGAACTGAGACGTGGTCCTTCACTGCTGGCCGTATGAGGAAGCTCAAGGTCGCTCAGCGAGCTATGGAGAGGGCTATGCTCGGAGTTTCTCTGCGTGATAAACTTAGGAATGAGGATATCCGCAGTAGAACCAGAGTGACCGACATAGCCCAACGGATTAGTAAGCTGAAGTGGCAGTGGGCCGGCCATATAGCTCGAAGAACCGACAACCGATGGGGAAGAAAGGTTCTCGAGTGGCAGCCTCGTACCGGTAGGCGAAGTGTAGGGCGTCCCCCCACGAGATGGAGTGACGACCTGGTAAGACATGCAGGAAGTCGATGGATGCAGGTGGCTCAGGACCGTGCTTTGTGGCATTCTTTGGGGGAGGCCTATGTTCAGCAGTGGACTTGTGAAGGGCTGTAATGATAAAATGTCGTCTAGATATAAAATAATTTTTTCAAATCTAAGATTTCCCAAGACTCGGTTCATCATCTGCTGAAAACATGATGGAGCTCCAGCTAAACCAAAGGGGAGCCTCAGAAATTCGTAGTGCCCATCAGTAATGAAAGCAGTCTTATGAACCGAATCTTCTTTCATTTTTATTTGATAATACCCACTTTTCAAGTCCAAACTGGTAAAAAAGCTACACTCCTGAAGTCGAACGATTAAATCTTCGATGCGGGGCATCGGATATTTATCTTTGATTGTGATTTAATTCAGCGCGCGATAGTCGATGCATAATCTTTTCTCGCCGTTCTTTTTATTTACTAGCAGGGCCGGACTTGCATACGCAGAATTGCTTTCGTGAATTATACAGTTTTCTAAAAGTTCGTTAACTAAAGATCTTATAATTTCTCTGTCCGAATACGATGCTCTATACGGCCTAAATTGCACGGGCTTACTATGGAGTAAATTTATCTCCATTTCATGTCCAAGAACCGTACCTAATTGATTTATATTTGAGGCTATGCATTGACGGTACTTTGAAAATAATCTTACTATTTCATCGTAATGAGAGTCTGTGTCAAAATCAAGCCTTAACTCATCCGTGATATTGCAAGTGCTTTCGACATTTTTCGCATATTCGAACGTAAGGTTTTCACCTATTCTTGAATACATTAGGTCGGGCCCTTCAGTCACATTGCGTCCTATTAATATATCACATCCTGAGAGTTCACTGAGAATGTACATTTCCACATTATTAATTTTAACGGAATCTAATTTAATATTTACACGAACCATTCCCATTACTGTTTTTACACTATCTTTGGAAAACCCTTGCAATATCACATGCGGTTTTAAAAGGAACCTTTGGAGGTTAAATTGTTTTACTAAACGAGATGATATCAAGGAACAGCTGCTACCGGTATCTATAAACGCATCGCTAACAAATTTATTTATAGAATTAATATTACTAATAATACCTTCTTAAAAAATCTTTGTTTTGAATTATAGAATTTAATACACTTTGTTTCTTGTTGGTCAAATTTGTCGGTATTAATATTTTTCGTATTTCTTTTATGGAAACATATATCTTCTGTGTGGCCCCTTTTTCCGCAAAATTCACATTTAATCGAACATTGAACCCTTTTATGATTACCGCCACAGTTAAAACATTCTAATTTCTTGCGACCTTGTGGCGGGTCAATATTATTTTGATTTGTAAATCGTGCGGGTAGATTAGTTAACAAAGGTAAATTAGATGTTGAGTTCAGTGTATGGGTTGTTATTTTAGGACTATAATCACGAATGTTATTTAAGCTAGAGGGTTGCTTTACTAATTTTGATTTGAAAAATCTTCCGTGTAAAAATCCTCCTAGGTTTTCACATGTCTTAAAATTACTTGCTTCAACTGACGCTGTGATATTATTGTCGTCAATATTTCCTAAGATAATTGATATAATATCGTAGTCCGTAAAGTTTAAGCACAAATTATCAATTTTTGCTTTTTGTTCGAAAAAGAAATTGTATAGAGACTGATTTTCGAAAGGCCGTCGCTCAATAATCTCTTTTAGTAACCCGAACATATTTCTTTTTACCCTAAACGTTACTAAAATTTTTTCCTTCCATTCTTTCCACGCCCAAGTTGTCCAGGAATTATCACTACGCAATAGCGATTCGTACCAAACTTTAGCCGAACCTTTGAGCTTATTTAATGCTTGATAACGGATTGTACTATCGGACCAAGAGAAAGATGACGCAAAAGATTCTATAACATTAAGCCATGTCACAATATTATCATTTAACGGATCAAATTCAGGTATCATACTATGAAGCGCTGTGTGGCTTGTACTTACAGTTTCGGTGGAGTTTTCATTTGATACCTTCATTCTCTTTCGGGTCTGGGGAGACAGCGGCGGTGTTTTCGAGCCACTGCTGCTGCTGGTGCTGCTGCTGGATGATGATCTTACACGTGTTTTCCTGTGCTTGCGTTTACTGCTATATTTTCTTTTCCTACCCATTTTTTTATTGTTTCTAATCCCACTTCTGATGTAAACTTTATATTATACTGAGGTAGATAATTAGACACTGACTGTACGTAATACAAATATTTAATAGCATAACTATTATACAATGATTATGTTCTTTATGAGACTGGAGGCTACTAGCGCGTTCGGCCGCTGAAGCGAAAGTGTTTCTTCTCGGTTTATTTCTTGCTTCCCCAGAGTCAGCAACTTCACTCGCCTACCGTGTTGTGGCCAACATTTTAACATTACGCAGCAACTTCACACTATTGCCGCGATGTTGCCAACACATAGGTCATAGAAAAGAGATAGCCTGCTGGCAAAATTTACCTTATCATCTAGCGGCGGCCGCGACTGTTGCCCGGACGTGACGCTCACGATGATTGTAATTGCTGTTGGCTTGTCAAAGGTGTAGCCCCCTGTCGGCCTGCAGATCGGGGCTTTGGCTTTCCAGCTTAAATTCTTGTTGGAAGGCAAGGTTTTTGGTTTGTTTGCACGGACTTTTTGCGTGGTGACAGCTTCAGCTCCTCATTAATTTATTGTTTTAACAGTTGTTATATGTCTGAAAGCACTTGTCCAAAGAGCAAGTTATCTTTGTCTGCTGCATCAGTCTCTCTTCAGTGTAGTCAGAATAAGACTCCGTCTAGTGACCGAATCCTATGTTGTGCACACAAGATGCGTGCTGTATAATATATTAGCAATTTTAATATTGTTGGATCTTTTGTATCTTTAGACAATAAAACTGTAAATTTTTAACTAAGACATGCTATAGTGCTGCATATTTGTTTTTGTTTAGCTTGTATAGCTTTCTGGCTTCACTATATCTTCTTAAACAGCACAACCTTTATCTCTGGATACGAGGAGGGAACGTCTATCATTTTACAGTTAGATGGAGGTAGATGCGATTCTAAGAGCTCATTATAGAGTTACCTGGTCTATTTCGATGCAGAAGTTGTTATAAATTCGAGGCGAATGGCCAAGTCCTTCCGCACGTTCTTTCCAAAAATAGCGGTTGTTGAAGGTCCTGTTTTTAAAATTTCTAGCACCATCATTAGACTGCTGACTCCTTCTCGGTAGGAGGTGGTTGTTCGGTCGCTGATTGTGGAGGTTCGAATATCACTTCAGGTGCATTGAACGCCAATAGCGAATTCCGTTGTGATGTGCTAGTTATCGGTCCTAGCTCGCGCAGGTCCGCAGTTAGCATTTCAACATTTTCCGATTCGTTGATTACGTCATTATTGCCCGAACTAATGTAATATGTATATTTTTCGCATAGAAAATTTATATACAGATACTTCTCTTTTTTTTGGGTTTGTAAGGACAAAAATAATATTTCGAGAGCTTAATTTACCTTAAATAAACACATATCGGTAATTATATGTAATGTACCTAAACAGGTAATATAAAAAAATATTTATGCATTTGTATGTAAACGCACAAAAACAACGGGTAAGATGAACTCATGGGCGTTGCATCGTGAACCCGAGTTTTATAGGGATAAGTTACAATTTGAGCATTGTAACGTTAATCCTTGTTAAAATCGGATGGTAATAACTCAAATCGTTAAAAAGTATATCCGTTATTGTAATTACCTTGAGTATCAGTTGACTTATGTACTGAATCCGGGGGCGATGACGATCTGCAGCGTTGGCTTTTTAACAGTTGTCTTCAAGTTTTTATTCGTAATATGATTTAAAGAATCCAAGTCGTCGTGTTTTCCTTTCGGTATTTTATTAACTTTAAAGTAATTTAAAGGCTATAATTTAAAATAAAAAACTTAAGCATATTGTTGGCAACTTTATTACTGGCAACATCGTCCGCCCGTCATTCAGTGCTCATAAATATGCACTTATAACATATATTGTATTATAAGTGCATATTTATGAGCACTGAAATGTGAATGATAAATCGAGCGCAGTGCAACTATGAAGTAATATTAATCTACCGTCTTGTTTTATTTTTACTTTAAACTAAGTGCATAGATGGCGACATTGTATGTGGGACTACCTGTGTTATCTAATCTCGAGAACGAAACACTGAAGCATAATTTTGTATTTATGTTTATTTATATCCAAATATGTGTATGTATGTATGTTTATATATGTTTAGTAGCATATAAATATTATATTTATATTATGAATGTGTATTTTTTTATTTATTTATTTATTCATAGAAAGAGTGTTACATAATTTACATTTCAAACTTTGCCAAACTGTATGCCAGTTTGTCGGCAACGCAACAGTTTATCGTTTCACACTCCTATATAACAATATAAGTTACTTATAAATACTTAAATTAACACACACATAATTAAAGAAACACTCACTACTAAGGACACAACGACAGGTAATGTTTCCTCAAGATTGTTTTGAGCTGCGACTTAGTTATGTTTTCGTCATAAATACCAGCAACCTCATTACACAAGGTCGGAGTTATCCATTGTCTTGTACGTCGTCCAAAGTAATTTTCAACCCTAGGTATGAGATATTTCCTCCTTTGTGTAACTTGGCGCTTCGGCATTATATATGTCTTAGGTTTCTTAAATGTTACCATACCATGCTGTTCTAATATGATGATGGATTTTACTTTCTTATCTATGGGAAGAATTTTGCAAATTTTAAATAACATTTCATAATTTTTATCTATTGCATTTTTGGTTTTACGATCAACTAATATCTTTAAGAATCTTATTTGTATAGACTTTATTTTGTTAAGATAAGTTGGGAAAGTAAGTCCATATGCACTTAAGCCATATCCGATCGTTGCGTCTGCCAGGGCATAATACAGCATATACATGATTCCTCGGTTCACCACATATTTTATATGATTCAGTTTACCTAAAACTGCCCTAAGCCTGCCACACACTAATTCAACATGCGAGTCCCATGAGAAACGATTATCTATAACCAACCCTAAATATTTATAGTTCGTTACACATTGTAGCTTTTCGCAGCAGCAGAGAGAACCAAACCGATCAGTATGCAGGCAATCGTAAGTGTGACCTATAAGAGCTATATCTACAGTTTTTATAGAACGGTTATATGGTGATGATATTACCATAAATTTGGTTTTACTCAAGTTTATGATAATACCATTATCGTGGGACCACTTTATTAAATTATTTAAATCCTGCTGCACTTTTAACTGTATCTGGCTACTGTGTTTCCCACTATACACGAGGCAGGTATCGTCAGCATACATGTATATTCTACAATTCTTAATAACATTTACCATGCTGTTTACGTGCATTATATATCCGATCGGGCCAAACACAGAGCCAGTCGGTACACCAAATTTCACTTTTCCTATCCTACTATCCATTCCGTTTACACGAACAACAATATTTCTATTTTCTAAATATTTTTTGAACCAAGTTTTCACTGGACCTCTTATTCCACATTCATCCATGGCCTGCAACAAGCACTCATGGTCCAAAGTATCGAACGCCTTTTTAAAGTCTATAAATAGAGCTACTACGATATTTTTATTATTTAAAGAGTTATTTACGTCATCTGAAAATGCTGTCAAGGCCGTCGTTGTACTTTTATTTAATCTAAACCCAAATTGAAATTCTGTTAAAATTTTATTTTTTTCAAGAAACACACCGATTTGTTTCATTAAAATTTTTTCAAATATTTTATTTATGTTACTTAATATTGCAATTGGTCTGTGTAAATGTACGAATATATATTTACATATAATGTGTATTAATTTTAGTTTCTCTTTTTTTTTTCTTTTTTTTTAATTGCTTCACCTACGACAAACTCTCACCACTCTATGGGTTGACTGGTAGAGAATGCCTTTAGTCAGTAAGTCCGCCATTTCTATCCTTTTTTTTAAAGGGACGCAATAAAGATTTTAAAATAAAATAAAATAAAATGAATGCCCTCTGACGTAATACGTCGTACCGACCCTCAACTTGTTTTCAAACAGCAGTTCACGTCCCTGTTTATAACAAAACACAGCTGTGCTTGTGCTGCTAGTTCACGCTCGTATTCCGTACGATTACGAGTCATCACTGCTGGCCATATGAGGAGCAAAGTCGCTCAGCGAGCTATGGAGAGGGCTATGCTCGGGATTTCTCTGCGTGATAGACTTAAAAACGAGGATATCCGCAGTAGAACCAGATTAACTGACATAGCTTTGTTTTTATTATAGGATGGGTGACAAACGAGCACACAGTCCACCCGATGGTAAGTGGTTGCTGTGGCCCATAGACATCTACATTTATCCTCGTTTACGAATCAAAATGCAGATGCGTTGTCACCCGTGAGGACTAAGATGGAATGCCTCTTTTCCAGTAAAAAAGGGTATCCGGTTCTCTACACTCACCATACGAAACACAGCAGTGTTAAGCTGCTATTTTAAGCTGGTATTCTGTGAGAGCGTGGTCCTTCCCCGGTCGAGTAAGATTTAAGGCGTGGTATTTCATCGCTGGCCGTATGAGGAGGTCGTTCAGCATAGCTGTGAAAAAGGTTTTGCATGGTGTTTTTCTTTCCTAAATAAAAAAAAACTGTCGCTTTCCGTCGTCTGTACGCTTAGATCTTTTAAATTATTCAATAGATTTTGATGCATTTTTTATCAATAGACAGAATTGTTAAAAAGAAAGGTTTGTAAGTATAACGCATGCATATTATACATTATATAATTCTTCTGTCCGTGTGTATGTGACTGATCTCCTCTTAAACGGCTGGACCGATTTTGATTAAATTTTGTGTGTCTGATTAAGTTTATAAGAGAACGCCTTATATACACGATTGGACCGGTAGGTGGTGCTGTTGACGGAATCCAGAAATCACCCGTGCAATCTCTAGTCCCCCCTGATTTTCTTAAATGTTCGCTTATATATGGGTATATACATATATTGTATATTATGTTCGTATGATTCCCAAGATGGTTTAGAATTACATTTGGACCCGGTAGGTGGCGCTGTAGTCGAGATCTAGTAATCACCCGTGCGAAGCCGGGTCGGAAGTTTTAAATAAATAAACTTAAATATTTTATTCCAATAATCTCCCACAGGTCGGACGCGTCCCGTGTCCGCAGCTCGTAAATAACTCCACAGTTAATGTCCCACGTCGCACGGCCCGTCCGTTTGTGCGTCCGCTTGATTTATGTCATTTTAAACGTACGGAATGAGGATATAATTATGTGACTTTGTTTTCTGAACTAATTTTGATGCACAATAGTTTTGTTTTAAATTCATTTAACGTTTATTTTGATTCTTTTCCTCGCGATGTTTTCCATTATCGCTGTTGGTAAATCGGTAACTTAAATTGCTATGGTCTGTTTAAGTGACTAGATTATAGAATTTATTTTCCACCACCCGTTGTAGAGCCATGCTGCAGCTATTATGGTTGTGGTACAAATGGGTCGGCCCGACCGGGGTAGTAGCACGCTCTCATAGGATACGAGCGTAAAATAGCAGCTTAATGCTGCTGTGTTTCATATGGCGAGTGTAAAGAACCGGAGATCCTTTATACTAAAAATGAGGCATTCCATCTTAGTATTCAGGGGTGACATTTTGATTCTTAATTGAGGATAGATGTAGATGTCTATGGGCCACAGCATCCACTTACCATCAGATATACTGTGTGGTGTGTGCTCGTTTGTTATCCATATTCTATAAAAAAATTACCAAGTGCTCGATGGTGAACTTGATTGCCCGAGGAATTTGAAACTCATTCTTATCACAACTATGCAGCATGGCTCTACTACGTATAAAAAAATGCTAGCTCATATCAAAAGCTGACTGTTACCAATTTATTTCATAATGTCTAATTATCCGAAGTTATTTTAAAGTAGTATTAACATTACGATTCAATCGAAACAAAACAGGTCCTATCATTTTGTTTATTCATCATCATCATTACAGCCTTTCATAATCCACTGCCGAACGTAGGCCTACCCCAAAGAACGCCACCGTTACAGTTACAGCCTATTAAAGTCCACTGCTGAACATAGACCTCCCCCATAGATTGCCTCATGGGGGGGATATTTGCCATACTTGTAATGTTATTGTTGATTTGAAAATTTCACCTCTCAGTGGGTCATGTGCTCCTGGTAGATTATCTTCTATACATCCATCCAACAGCATATAGTTCACTCTGAACATAGACCTCCCCATAGATTACCTTATAGAGGAGATATTTGCCATAATTGCCAAGTTTGGCAAGCGAAGACGCTGCTGCCCATTTCCTGATTTGCTTCCCTGTTGGGACGATATGCTTTACGGTGTAATGGTAGTGAAAGAATATCCACCATACCCCATATAATTCCGTGGTTGTCGTAAGAGGAATGCCACAAGTGCATTCAAGCCTAAATAAAAAATATTGAAAACAAAGGAAAGAACACGCCGGCTAGTAAAACCAAAGGCGCCTTCCGACAAAATTGATCACGAGATTTATCAAAAATTATAATCTTAATTTATTAGACAGGTACATCGTCTGGAACTATTTCGTTCAGATTTACGGCGGACGTTTTATCTTTCAACCACATAAATTAATAAGCGCTACGTCCCTTGACATATTGCTGAGTTCATTGGGGACCCGCTCCAAGACCGGTACTCTATTAATTATATATTATAAGATATTTCTAATTTGGGAAGGTATCTTAGATTATTATCTATATTAGTTACGTTTGTGATGATGTATTAATGCACGTGTGAAAGCATATGTTGAGATAGTAAGTTTTTTGTGTGTTGTTAATTTGTTTTTTATTAAGTATCCTTTTGAAAATTGTTCGAGTAGGTCAGATATCTTAAAGATTTGAGATTGATAGAGCCAATAATACTGTTTTTATAAGGACGTTTTAAATTTAATATGTCAACATTTTGGTTCGCATATCTTAAGAAAAAATTATGATATATTTTCAAACCAATTTCATTTGACGCCATTAAATATTAAATATCTGATTAACTTTTCCATCAAATCAATTTTGTAATTCTTAAAACAAAATGCCGTATCGACAATCAATCGGCAAAAGGGAAAGAAAGGGCAGACCAAACCGCATTCACATCCATTTTTTGATACTGTTTAACTATAGTTACAATAGCTTATCTATAATATTAAAATGAATCGCTGAATGTGTTGCTAAGCACAAATCTCGAGAGCTAAAAAGAACCCCTTTGTCGTATCTCCTCAGTTTCAAGGCACTCCCCTTCTTGCCTCAGCCAGTATCGGTATCCTCGGAGTCGACATATCGAGTGACGTGCAGTTTCGTGGTCACTTGGAAGACAAGGCCAAATTGGCCTCTAAAAAGCTTGGCGTGCTCAGCAGAGCGGGACAGTATTTCATGCCGGCACACCGCCTGCAACTTTACAAGGCGCAGGTTCGGCCTCACATGGAATACTGTTCCCATCTCTGGGCAGGGGCTCCCCAGTGCCAGCTCCTTCCACTTGACCGTATCCAGCGCAGAGCGGCTCGAATCGTTGACGACCGAGCCCTTTCCGATCGGCTGGATTCATTGGTACTGCGAAGAGATGTTGCATCCCTTTGCATTTTCTATCGCATCTACCATGGGGAGTGCTCTGAGGAATTGTTCGGATTAATCCCAGCCGCCAAATTTCACGAACGCACATCGCAGCAGAACTCCCGATACCATCCACACCATCTGGGTGATTGGCGGTCCACCACTGTGCGATTTAGAAGATGTTTTCTTCCTCGCACGACTTCCTTGTGGAATTGATTACCATCAGCGATTTTTCCGGACCGATACGACTTAGGGACCTTCAAGAAAAGAGCGTACTCCTTTTTAAAAGGCCGGCAACGCATCTGCAATTCCCTCCCTGGTGTTGCAGTTGTTCATGGGCGGCGGTAGTCACTTACCATCAGGTGAGCCGCATGCTCGTTTGCCCCCTCTCCTATAAAAAAAAATGTCGAGAGCAGCTGAACCGATTTCGCTAATTCTTTTTTTATAATATTTCTTGAAGTAGGAAGATGGTTCTTACGGAGAGAAAAATTTAAAAAATTGCCTGAAAAAGTCTAAAAACAACACTTTTCTATATTCCCATACAAAAGAAAGTGTTTTATAATTTTTATTTTTTGACATAATGTAATTGTTGACTTATCAACTTTCTTTTTTCTTTTTTTATCTTACTAGCTGACCCGGTGTCCCGAATAGCAGAATAAGTATTAAAAAAATAAAAAATTAAAGAATTGACTGTTAGGCGGTATGAAGTTCGCCGGGCCAGCTAGTAGGTACTACAATAGATTACCAGATTACCAGAAGTGTTAATATTGAGAATTTTTCTCTTGGTTGACCGCGGCGACAATTTGTTAGAAGTTTAGACTAGAGTTCCTAGCTAGCTAACTTAGAGCCTTAGCGGTAAGTCTGGTTTTACTGATGGTTCATGACGAGGCAATGCACGTGTATTATCTACGGTTGTGTGTCTTTCCAAGTATATTGGTGGTGTTGAGAATAGTGGTGGTGACGAGGATAGTGCACGCAATTAAGGCAGGGCAGGAGGTGTTCTTCAAATTAGATAAGACACATTATTTTAATTCTTTAATACATATTTTAGTTAATTAATTTCTAAGATCTTTAATTTCCTTGTTCATCTTAACCCTTTATCTTGCATTTTGGTTCTGAATAGGTACAAGAACTTATAGGGATATCTT